CAACAGTACAATGATTGAAATTTCTTTTGAGAGCCAAATTTTTAAAACTTAAACTATATAGGTAGGTACATGGTGATTAACTTAACTAGGGTACTCCTAAGCTGGCCTTTGCTAAAAACGTCCTCAATCTGATTGAGGTACGTTCGCCGAGGTCGACCCCTTCCAACTCTCCCATCCACACTCGTCCTGTCTACTTGTTTCGTCCATCTCCTTTCGTTCATCCTCTCTCTATGTCCACCCCCTACTTCTTCTAACGCCGCTTCTTCAAAATAGACTCGCCCAGGCCGAAAACCGACTTCAGCGCATGGGCCACGAAGCTTCAATCTCACTGTACCTGTGCGCCCGCACGTGGTATTTTGTGGAAGAGCCACACTCAAGGGGCCAAAGAGCCGCATGTGGCTCGCGAGCCGCGGTCTGCCGACCACGGCCCTAGACCACTCCCAACAAGAAACCCTATTACGTGAGGTTCGAGATTTCTTTGCAGGCCGTCCTGTCTTTGGACGGAGATATAGAATCAAAGCTCTCTCTCTATTCATGTTATTGGATCACTACTTTCCCCTCCTGTGGTTGGACTTGTTAGCTGTGCAGTCGGTTTTGCTTATGCGTGTTCATACTCGATGTTCGTTTTCCCCGTCCTTGTGGAATTTGTCTTTTGGACACACAAAACATTGGCGTCTCCTTGGGAAGCTCCAAGTTCAAAGGAGTGTCACTTCCTCCCTCTGGCTTCCTTCCCGCTCTCACCTGCCCCCTGCAGGTCGTCAGCTGCATTTGTTTTCCTTTTCCTTGTCTCTTTCCCCAAAAAAACATGCGCATACATGTGTCCTAATGCACCCTTCTTTTTAAAGAATATATATTTTTATTGATTTCATAGAGGAAGGGAGAGGGAGAGGAAGATAGATAAAACATCAATGATGGGAGCCGTAACCGGTTTGGCTCAGTGGATAGAGCGTCGACCTGCGGACTGAAGGGTCCCAGGTTCGATTCAGGCCAAGGGCATGTACCTTGGTTGCGGGCACATCCCCAGTAGGGAGTGTGCAGGAGGCAGCTGGTCGATGTTTCTCTCTCATCGATGTTTCTAACTCTCTATCCCTCTCCCCTCCTTTCTGTAAAAAATCAATAAAATATATTTTAAAAAAACAAAAACAAAACATCAATGATGGGAGAGAATCCTCGATTGGCTGCTTCCCGTGCACCCTACACTGGGGATCAAGCCCACAACCCCGCATGTGTCCTAACTAGGAATCAAACCATGACCTTCTGGTTCATAGGTCGACACTCAACCACTGAGCCACACAGGCCGGGCTGTACCCTTCTTTTTTGCTTAAAAGTAGCATCTGGTATATTTCTTATACATTCCCCTCCCCTTTTTAAAATTTTTTTTTTAATGATTTCAGAGAAGAAGGGAGAGGGAGAGAGAGATAGAAACATCAATGCTGAGAGAGAATCATTGATCAGCTGCCTTCTGCACACCCCCTACTGGGGATGTGTCCGCAACCCAGGTACATGCTCTTGACTGGAATAAAACCTGGGACCCTTCCGTCCCCAGGCCGATGTGCTATCCACTGAGCCAAAAGGCTGATGCTCTATCCACTGAGCAAACCAGCTAAGGCCCCCTCCCCCCCCTTTTTTTTTTTTTACTTAGTGATATAGTCTGAACTATCACAGAATTCCATCTATATCGGTTCACAGAGCTCAACCTCCTTCTCATTGCACGGTGGCGCAGGACTCTGTTGGGTGATGTTTTATAGATTAGTTCATGAATCGAGGGCATCTGGGTTGTTTCTGATATTTTGCCACCATGAGCCACTGCTGCAGTGAATTAACTTGTGCCTGTGAACTTTCCTATCGCTGGACAGATATCTTGAGGGTAAATTCCTGGCAGTGAAATTGCTGGGTTAAAGGATAAAGACCTCTGTGGTTTTGTTAGTTGTGGTCAACCTCCCCTCCATAGGGGCTGTGCCCTTTTGCATCCCCACCAGCAATATAGATGAGCATCCGTTCCCCGGGCCGAGCCAGAAGGAAATGTTGTGATGCTTTTTAACATTTGATGACCTGATATGTGAGATGTTACCCCTCATAGTTTCATCTGCATTTCTCTTACTTTGAGTGGGAGGACATTTTTTAAAAAAATATATTTTATTGATTTTTTACAGAGAGGAAGGGAGAAGGATAGAGAGTTAGAAACATCGATGAGAGAGAAACATCGATCAGCTGCCTCCTGCACACCCCCTACTGGGGATGTGCCCACAACCCAGGTACATGCTCTTGACTGGAATCAAACCTGGGACCCTTGAGTCCCCAGGCCGATGCGCTATCCACTGAGCCAAGCCGGTTAGGGCTGGGAGAGCATTTTGTTTGTTTTTTTTTAAACTGGGAGATCATAAAAGACCTTTCTAAAAAAGTGGTAAGGCCCTAGCTGGCTTGGCTCAGTGGATAGAGCGTCAGCCTGTGGACTGAAGGGTTGCGGGTTCAATTCCAGTCAAGGGCACATGCCCTGGTTCCAGTGGGGGGTATGCGGGAGGCAGCCGATCAATGATTCTCTCTCCTCATTGATGTTTCTCTCTCTCTCTCTCCCTCTCCCTTCCTCTCTGAAATCAATAAAAATATATTTTAAAAAATAAGAAAGTGATAAGAAAAGAGAGAGTTAAATGAAGTGATAGAGGGGGTGGGGGAGAGAGAGAGAAATCGGGGGAGAGAATAGGCAGAAATGAGCTTGATGTGTTCAAGGAAGAATGAGGAATCTTGTGGCCTGAGTAGAGGGAGCAAAGCCAGACTGACCAGGGATGAGTCTGTGGACACCAGACCATAAGCATCCTAGTTTCGGGGTCAGGGACGTTTTTCTGTAGAGGAGCCAGATAATAAATATTTCCGGCTTTACCGGCCGCACAGTCTCTGTTGCACCCACTTCACTTTGCCACTACAGCCACAGGCAATGTGTAAATAAACTGTCTGGGTTCCAATAACATTTTACTTATGGACCCTGAAACTTGAAATGCACAGACTTTGAAATTTGAGATGTTACCATTCACATAACCTAGAATCCATATAATTCTTTGGGGTTTTTTTTTTTTTTCCTCTCACAGAATTCACAAGGCTGTGCAACCATCTCTATTACCTAATTTCACAACATTTTCCTCACCCCCACAAAGACACTTCGCACCCTTTAACAGCCAAAGCCCCCCTCCAGCCCATTCCCTGGCAACCACTAATCTACGTTCTGTCTCTATGGATTTGCCTCTTTTGGACATCTATATGTATAAAAGCCTAACATGCAAATTGTCCCCTCCCAGGGGGTTCCACTGGGAGACGGGGAGTTCGATCGCTCGCTATGACATGCGCTGACCACTAGGGGGTGGCGCGGAACGAAGGAAGGCGACTGTTAGCAAGAAAGTTCATCTTTAGGAAGTGATATTTGCCTCTTAGAAATTCTCAACCCGGACCCCTCCCTCTTCTCCACCTTCCTCATGCCCCTCTATTTCCTCATCTGAAAATGGACATAAAAATGGTACCCACTTGAAAGGGCTGGTGTGAGGTTTGAATGAGTGGATGTATGTATGACACTGAGAGTGAATGGTGCCCGGCACAGAGCAAGACCTGTGTAAGCAGTTGCTATTATTATTATTAATTACTAGAGGCCCAGTGCATGAATTCATGCATGGGTGGGGTTCCTAGGCCTGGCCAGCGATCAGGGCTGATTGGGGCCTGGGGCTGGGCTGATCAGGGCCTGCTGGCCTGGGAGAGGGACGAGGGAAGGGACTGTGGGAGGTTGGCCAGCCGGCTGCGGGGAGGGACCGGCCAGGGAGAGGGGCTGCAGGAGGTTGGCGGGCAGGGGGAGGGACCAGAGGAGGTTGGCTGTGGGAGCACACTGACCACCAGGGGGCAGCTCCTACATTGAGCGTCTGCCCCTGGTGGTCAGTGCATGTCATAGCAACTGGTTGACCCATCATTCTGGTTGTTCGGTCATAAGGCCACTTAGGCTTTTATATATATAGATTATTGATATTGTTGCTGCTATTATCCATACAGCCTCAGCGCAGGCCCCCTCCTCCTCCCCCTGGAATATAAATCTCCAGTAGTTTCCCCTCCAATCTCTTCCCAGAAACAACCAGCCCCCAAAGGACCTTCTAGCGCTCCACTCTGGCCCTGTCTTCCTTCTGCTCCAGACTTTCCATGGCTCCCGAGTGCCCTGGGCATCAAGGCTGAGCCCCCCCAGCCTGGCATGGGAGGATCATCGTGGTTGGGTCTCTGCCCCCTTCTCCGGCCTCATTTTTGGCGGCTGTGGCCCCATGTTGTAGTCACATGCTCAGCCTTTGCCCTGCTGGTCCCTCCGCCCAGAGCGGTATAATGGAGACTCTTATTCTTCCCTGGGCCTCATGCTGTAGGACCTGAACAAGTACCATTCCTCCAGGAGGCGTCCTTGGTTCCCCCTGACCCTGACCCTGACCCTGACCCTGCCTGTTGACCCACGGCCATATCTGCCTTCCCCAACTACATTGTGAGCTCCTGGACAGAAGTTTCGGGTGAGGGAGAAGGAGGAGGACTCATCTCCCACATCCCTGCACCCAGCCAAGGCCCAGCACACAAGGGGCTTAAAAAGATAGACATTAGCCCTGGCCGGTTTGGCTCAGTGGATAGAGCATCGACCTGCAGACTCAAGGGTCCTGGGTTCCATTCCAGTCCGGGCACATGCCCGGGTTGCGGGCTCGCTGGCTCGATCCCCAGTGGGGGGGCATGCAGGAGGCAGCCGATCAATGATTCTCTCTCATCATTGATGTTTCTATCTCTCTCTCCCTCTCCCTTCCTCTCTGAAATCAATAATATATAGATATAGATATAGATATAGATATAGATATAGATATAGATATAGATAGATATAGATATAGACATTAGACCAGGCCAGAATAGGGAGGCGAGGGAGAGAGCTGCGGTGGGAGGGGGAGGACCCGGCTGGGGGAAGGGGTCCACTGCTGGTGGACCAAGGGCACCCCTCTGCTCCCCAGGCCTGTCCTTGGTGGTGGGCTTGGTCCTGTACATCTCCAGCATCAACGACGAGGTCATGAACAGGCCCAGCAGCTCGGAGCAGTACTTCCACTATCGCTACGGGTGGTCTTTTGCCTTCGCCGCTTCCTCCTTCCTTCTCAAAGAGGTGATGTCTCAGGGCCCTCAGGAGAGTTCTGAATGGGGAGGGCTCTTGGGGGCCTGATTCCTGGGTCCAGGAGGCAGAGGAGACTGGGGGCGAGGGCTGGATGTAGGGTGGTGGCTGAGGAACTAGCCCCTGGGAGGGGGCTGGGGACCTGACTCCCGGTTCCTGGGGGAGGAGAGGGGCTGGGGGCCTGGACTCCTGGGTCTGAGGGAGGAGGCTGGGGGCCTGGACTCCTGGGTCTGAGGGAGGAGG